GATTACACAGAAGTTGTTCATCTTTTTCATGATTAATTAATGATTCAACTTTACAATCGAGTGTAATATTGTTGATTTAAATAATTATTTATATTATATAAGTTGTTTCTTTTTATTGTATTTTTGCATCACTTTTCTTCACATAGGTTTGAGTATCACAAACTTTAGAATAAAAATAGTAGCAGGCTTGAAGTTAAAATGTTTTTGTATTATTGACGGTAAAATAATGAAAAATTGTTTCAATATTTAAAACTTAAAAAGAGTAACTACTCACTAATATTTTTATCCTAATTTTAATTCACTACTCTAATCCATAATTAAAAAATTAACTAAATCCTAAAAATAAGGAACAGACTTTGACTCAATTAAAATTAAAAATAAAATATTCATAAAGCATTTTCTTAACACTTATTCTTGCTTTAGGAATTGCAAAAGTCAATCAAGTGTCAATCTGGCTTTAGTAAAAAAATCTTTGAATCCTGAATTATGAATTTCAACATAACCCTTCTTGATAGCTTTACGTTGATTTTATTAGCACCTTCAGGCTCCTTCTCTTCATCGTCTTCATAGTCAAGAAGGTCATCCTCGTACGCCATGTTCTAATAACGTACTAAATTTTTCCTAGTTCATCCATGGTCATCCATGATACGATCATGGCCCCTTCCACATGGTCACCTATTGTTATATGAACCTGCTGAGGAGCATTATAGCTAGATGAGGCAGCAAATACATCACTTTATAGGAGCATGTCCTCAATCCTATTGACCTTCCTGATGAAAGAAATTGTTTTGCCTCCATGGAAAACCACAACCACATTGAGAAGGATAAAAACAAATGTTGTAGCCATTGTTGCAAAATAAGAGAAACTTTTTGCACCCAACATATGATGAGGATGTCTTTTATGCCAGATTTCTGTCATATTTTCCTTGAGTGAGAATACAATTTGCTCCTCCTCCAATAGTTTTAGAGCAAAGCTTTTCCCTTTCATTTTCACCTCGAACATATCTTGACCAACTGCATCTTTAATCAAGCAATTTTTGTCTTCAAAAATAAATTTAAATCCTCTTTCATCAATTGACCAACACTTAAAAATTTTGGTCAATTTCTGGAACAAAAAGAACGTCTAGAATAAATTTTGTGCCTGCACAACTTATAATTGCAACTTTCCCCTTTCCTTTGACTGAGATATAATCACCATTGCCTATTCTGACTTTGGTGACATCAGTTGGTTTCATATCTCTAAAGAGTGCCTTGTCAAAGGTCATGTGGTTAGTACAACCACTATCAATTAACCAAGATTCACTTGAAACATTGGTTGAAAAACAGGTTGCAACAAAAAGTTGATATTCTTCCTCTTCATTTGGAATTTGAGCATCTTCTTCGTGCTGCTGATTTTGGTTCTTGCATATGACAGCTTCATGCCCAAGTTGATTGCACTTGTTGCATTTAGCGTTAGGCCTTCTCTCACACTTGAGTGGAGGATGACCCATCTTGTTGCAATGCTTGCAAGAAGGATACTTTCCCTTGGAGCTTCCTGCTTTGCTTTCATTTTTAACAACACCTTCTCTATTTGGTTGTTGGTTCCTTTTTTGTTTTTCCAACTATCTTCATGTTTAGTAGGCAAGGCTTCCTTAAGAAATCCTTCTTCTCTCATAGCCCTTCGTTGTTCTTGTGCCTGCAAGGAATTCTGCAACTCTGAGGTGATCTTGGAAAAATCCTTAGTGTTTCCTAAGGTGGTTATGATAGTTTCAAATTTTCCATGTACGGTAACTAGAATTTTTTCAACAATACAAGAGTCCTTAAATTCAGAACCAAGCAATCTTTCTTTGTTTGCTATGTTTATAAGCTTTTCAGAGTACTCCTTAATAGTTTCAGATTCCTTCATCTTCTACAATTCAAAGTCTTTAATGAGATTCAACACCTTCATGCCTTTAATTCAATCATCTCCATCATATTCTTCTTTGAGATAATCCTGATGTGTGAATAAAATGTAATTGCATTCATATCTTAGTTAAGGCCATTTGCATACATAATTGCATTAATTGAATGATTTCATCATACATTATCCTGGTTTCAGATCATACATGGGGATTTTGTCTTTTTCTTGTAAATTAGTGATTCTAAGTGTCAGAATCACAACTTGGGATGAATTTAGGTACAAAATGCAGATGCAAAACAGAGAATTCCATAACTTAGCTGTGGATAGTTCCACAACCTGTGGATTTTGCTTTAGGAAGTACAAAATTGAATCCAGAGAAGAGCACAAGCATATTGTGGATTTTTTCATGAAATGTGGAATGTTTCAAAGCAGTTATTAACCTCTTTTATGACGTGGATTTAAAGAGATTTAAATTAAATAGAAATTAAAGGAAAGTTACTGAGAGAGAGTAACCACTCTCTTAAAAAGAGGAATGAGGGGGATTAAAGGAGGGGGGATTGAAAACATAAAGAAAAGAGGAACGTACGAAGAGGACATCAACATTCACGCGACGACTTCAACACTTCTTCTTCTTCTTCTTCTTTTGGTTTGCTTTTGAATTTTACATTATGCAGAACTAAATTTCCTTTTGTTAGAGGATTGATGTAGTACTTTGGATTATGATTTCTGAACCTTTTCAATTGATGTTTAGTTAATTTTAATTATCCTAGTGTTTTATTTATGTTTTAATGTCTATTCTATTAGTAGTTTCAAAATTGAGATATTGGGGATTGTTTGCGATTATAAATAATCCACTTTCGTGAACAATTTTCTTCACGCGATCTTTCTTCGTCCTCTAAGCAAACATTATTCTCCAACACTGCCCATTGCTCACGCCTCCCCCTTCCCGTTCGTCGCGCCTCCCTCGTCATTCTAGCTCCACCTCCGTGGCCGTTGTCGGACCACCTCCTTCGCTCCTCCCTCTCGAGGACTCGCTTATATCTCGCGGTTCTTGTGACCTTGTACCTTTGTTGCTCCGTTGTCGTTGGTCGTCGCCACCAGCGTTCATTGCTGCCACCTCCGTTGTTGTCACGTCATTGGTGTCGCCGCTGCTGCCTTCGCTGGTGCTTCCATCTCGGTTGGCCTGATATTGTTGCGATATTGGGGTTAAAGTTCAGATTGAGAAACTTAGGGTTTTGAGTTTGGGGAATTTCTTTTTAAGGATCTGTTCGCGCTGTTCTGGTCCGCGAGGGTTGTTGATGGTTGCGCCAGTTGGAGAAGAAGACTTTGCATGGTGGCCTGTGGTGGTCCAGTAAAGGTGGCACGATTGTTGGGTGGTGGTCCGATGTGAGAATGGAGTGTTGAAGATTGGTGGACACTTGTTATCAAGCTTCTCGATAGTGCAAGCGAAAAAGCAAACTAGACCATGGACACAGGTCACAATCAATCGTCTTGCGAGAGGCGGAAAAGTTGGGGAAACCGAACATTAAAAAATAAAATAAAAAATGCTCTACTGTCTCGGTTAAGGTCCCAACCGAGGCAGTAGAGTCTAAGATACTGCCTAGGTTAAGAAGGAACCGAGGTAAAAACCTACCCCTTTTTGACTCAGTTCAGAACAGAGGCAAAAAACTTATCTCTTTTTATCTCGCCTGTATATGCCTCGGTTGCAGAACCGGTGCCTATAAGCGAAAACAACCGGTGTAATTTTTCTTGACTGCACTATTATATCAATTATATTTTACTGTATCACACTACAACGAGCATAAATATCTCGTAAGTTGTTTCAAAGGTAGGTTGTTTGTGTGTGATGATCGATTTGTGATTTGTCCTTACAAGACATTCTTAGACATGTCCAAAGATTTAAGTTTTAAAGTGTATGCAATATGTAATTTTCATTTTCATCTAGTTTTTTTACTGTCACATGATTTTAGTTCAATTATTCACTCTGTTCTTAAGTCAATTATTTACTTACTTTTGAGATCCTACGAACATATAATTAACAAGTTCTGTTTAAAAACTTCATTAAAGTCACACTTAACAAATTGATTTAATTAATCAAAACTTTATTCCTTACCAACTCATTAAATTAATCAAAACTTTTGCATTATTTATGATGACAAAAACATCAAATATCTTATCAACAAACATTTAAATCTACATTAATTTTAATTTTAATTAGTTATATTATGTCTTAACAATCCTAAAATATTTTAAATTCTCCGTTGATTCGGATTTGTTCATACTTATTCATAATTAGTAAACTAATAATATTCAATAAATGTTTTATATTAAGATAATAATTACTAAATTACAATGTTATAACAATAAATGTTTTTATATATGATAATTGTCCAAAATGTATTGACTTATGAAAAGAAAGATCCTTAAAATAATTGTGGTCAACTTAGAACTTAAAATATCTTGTTCATTTACCAACTTTATAAAAGGTATTCATAAAATATGAGTCAAACCTACTTCTTATTATCTTAACTAATACTTCATCCCAATAGTCCACTTTTGTCTTAATCAATTTTTTTATTTCAATATGTTTCATCATTTTTTTTATTGATAATAATTACACCATAAAATCACCTTTTGTCGTTTCATGTACTACTTTAGCTGTAGCACATAAATGTATATGTTTGAAATATTGAGATCTATAAATTTAGTAAATAATAATTGTTTATATGGCTTTATAATAATTTTTTTTGTCTTCATATATACTTTTGTTATAATATTTTAATTATTTCTGCTTTCATTTTTACATTTAATTAATAGTGTTCTTATAAATTTGTTCTTTCTTTATTTTAGTTTTATTATTTATGTATTTATTTGATGGATAGACAGAAGATAATATATATATATATATATATATATATATATATATATATATATATATATATATATATAGTATCACAAAATTTAATAACCAAATTAATTAAATTTATAAGTTATCAAAGATGTAACTTAAATAAAGTATTGTATTAAATAGAAAAAACAAATATATAACTATTACATAGATACGGAATAAAAAAATAAAAAAATCGCCTATATAAGATCGAGAGAGCGGAGGATGTGTCACTCAAACAAACTATGTAATGATTCTTCACTCGGTCTGCGGGGCTTCAGTTTCAAATTGGTTTCATCGGTTTCCACAATTCATGTTCCAAACCCTAAACAAAATATTCAATAAAGAAATTTGAAGCCGCCGTTTTGTAACTTTGACATCTCCAAAGGACAAGGTATTTCTTCTGCCACCTTTTCTTTTTCTAGCTATTTTAGAAATGACAGCAAAACAAGATTTTTTCTTAACTATGATAACTTCTAATGAGCTTTCTATTTCATATTTTTTATCTTTATATTGAAAGAAGAAAAAAAAACATAATGGGAGGACTAAGGTTTATCATCAGATCTCAAAATTCCTGAGAAAAGAGAGATAGGGAGAGTAAGTTGTTTCTTATTTTTATTCAAATTCAAATTATTGATTGAATAACAGCCTGAGGATTTTTTAGAGTATTTATTAATTGGAAAAAGTTCTATATTTCCAATCAAGAAACTCTGAAAAACACTTGGGCCTTTTGTGGATACACTGTTAGAAGATCTTTTGAGTGTTTATCTACTAATGCATTTCCTGTCTTTATGGTCTGAAAAATAGTTTTGTATCCAAACACGCTTCTATATCTTGCATGCAATCAGATCCTTTGTAACTATAACTAATCAGATCCTTTGTGACCATAACTTGCATGCAATCAGATGCTTTATGACTACAACTTGCATGTAAAATCAGATCCATGACTATAACTTGCATACAATCAGATCCTTTGTGACTAAAGTGACAATAAGAGGATTTGGTTTGAATTTTCTTATTTTCATATGCTAATGTGATATTTTTTTACACCTTTATTCATAAAATAGTTGTTTTACCTATAAAAATGAAAAATACTCTTAGAGGGATTATTAATTTTCTTCTATTTAAAGCATATATGAGATAAACAAATATTTTTTCTAACATTTCTTTGGTCAGGTATCAATAGAAGAAAAAGTAGGAAAATTGATTATGAAGACAAGAAACAAGAGACAGAGGCCGAGTAGAAAAGATAGAGAAGGGAAGAGGGACAGACTGAGTGAATTGCCTGACTGTGTTCTGATCCACATGATGGAGTTTATGGACACAAAGCATGCTGTTCAAACCTGTGTATTGTCTAAAAGATGGAAGGATCTCTGGAAACAGCTCACCACTCTTGCATTTAACACATTGTTCTTTAATAATGTTGTCAATTTCAGCAAATTTGTGTCTCACGTTCTGTCTACACGTGATGGTTCCCTTTCACTGCTTAATGTTGAATTCACCCGTCGCGGTTATGCTCAGCCCCACCTCCTGAATAGGCTCATGAAATATGCATCTGGGCACAATGTTCAACAGTTGACAATCTTTATAACTTTGAATAGCAAACCCAGTTTTGATTTTCGCCATTACATCTTTTCCTGTGAGACCTTGACATTTCTTAAACTTTCTGTTAGTACTTATGATTCTTCTATGATAGTACTTCCAGAGTATCTGTACATGCCAGCAATAAGAACCATGCAACTTAAGTCTGTCAGTTTTACTGCATATGGCTGTGACTATGCTGAACCATTTTGTTATTGTCCCGTGTTGAATACTTTGATACTTGAAGGTTGTTCCTTGCATAAAGATCAAAATTTCCTCCGTATATCTAATTCAAACCTTTCCAATCTGACCCTGGATGGTAGCTTTGAAGCAGGATTTTTCCCAGTTGATCTTTGTACTCCAAACCTTACTTCTCTCACTCTATCGGGTCATACTGATAATCCATTAATTGGCTCACCCAATCTTTCTTTACTCGAGGAGGTAACCATTGGGTCACTTGGAAATATAGGTTATCACAAGACAGAGTTACTCATCATAAGCTGGCTGGAAGGGATAAGAAATGTAAAGTTAATGACAGTGTCTCTGAGCGCTCTTGACATAATACTACAAGTTAGTTACTATGCTTTTACTCTTTACCTCTTTATTTTTTCATAAGGCTCATAAGATTCTTGTGTTCTTGTGTCATTTTTTTTCCTATTACTTAGTCTTGCAATTAAGAATGTTGATCAAAGTATGTCTTCAATTCCAATTTTCTCTATCTCTGTAGGATCTATCAAAACCTCTTTCAGCGGGCATTCAACCTCCTTGTTTCCCTCAATTGAAGACATTGATGGTGAAGAAACTACCATACGAAGAACTATCTGATGATAGATTAAAAAGATCATTGAAATACCTACTTCGGAACTCTCCAGTGGCCAGAATTGAGTTTGACTACGATCATGATGATGATGAAGAAGATATACATGCTTAGCTCTGGGGGTATAAAATTTTTCAAATTGTTCAATTTTACTTTGTTCATGTTTCTGTTTTTGAACTTATGTAGCAAGTTATGGATTGTGTTTGCGGTGTCTTTAATGTTCTTTTTTTCTTTTTCAATTTAGCAGATGAAATTTATAAAATTTAATAAGCTACTACTAAGAGTAACCGTGTTTGAAACACAATTTTCATTGTTTTGATGTTGAAGTTGGAGGCTTTGGAATGATGAGAAAAATATCTGCTTGCGACTGAATTGAAACTGCATTAGGAATTTTGTTTGGGTACCTTTCAAATGACAATGATAGTAACTAGAGCTAAATCATCTAACGGCCCAATGTTTAATACAAAAGTGATTGAAAGACTATCAAAGTTATTAAGTGGTTGTAATCAGCTCGATATATGTTATATTTTAAACCTAACTTCTTTGGAGTCTAGGGACAAGATATGGAACCATATCTTTTGATTAATTTATCTATCTCTAGCTGTAAAATGTGTCATACATTACATCTTCCTTTTTATGGTTAAGCTCTATTAAAGGAGTCATTCTTCATTTTCTAAACTTGAGATACTTTTTCTGACTGCAAACAAAATGTTTGTGATGATACAAGTCTACAACACTTAAAACTTAATTTTGTGATTTGATTCTCAGACCTCAAATCTGGAACCCTGAATTTGGTTTGAAGTTGGATTTAGGAAAGTTAGAAGTTATTTTCCTTTTGATGTGCTAGAGGATATAGTTAGACTATTGTAGGTGGTTGATAAAACTGTAATTGTTCCTTAAACCTGACAGCGTAATTTTATATGTTGACCATTTATTTTTGGCTGAATTTCGGTGTTACTCTTATTTATCGCTGCTTTTGACTGAGAACACACCAGCTGTTTAAATACAGTGTAATATTGCGTTCATACAAACGGTTTCATTCTTTTAATCATATCTAATCATTCACACAATGATTCCAATAAGATATCCAACATCCAATCAATCATAAGATTTCAATCAACCAATAAGCAAAGGATATGGATAAACATCAAAATATCATTAAACCATAAAATTCAAACATAACAAAATATAATTGTTCAGACACTAGTACAAAAAAGCGTAGAACGTCGAATATTTTGACCTTTTAACAACGAATCCGTAATCGATGTCACATCGGGAGACACAACTTTGACGTTGAATACTAAAGGCCAACATTACTTGTTATATACATGTCGAGTAGTAAAGAGCACGATGTCTAATATGTGAATAAATAATTATATTTAAAGGAAGATTTGACGTCCAATGTAAGGGGACAAGATGTAAAATTGATGTCCAATGGAAAGAGGTTGGATGTAAAGTTGATGTCGAATTATGTAGACCGACGTTACTTGTTATTTATAGACACGTCGAGCAATAAAGAGTTGGACGTCAAATATGTGAATAAATAGTTATATTTAAAGGAAAATTTGGTGTCCTTTGTATGGGGACTAGATGTAAAGTTGACATCGAATTTGCTGGGCGGTTGATGTTACCCTTGCTGAGCCAGAGAGAAGCTCGTCTAATGTTCACTAGTACAATAAGAGGAAAAGACACCGGTTGTTTTTGCTTATAGGCACCGGTCTGCAACCGAAGCATATACAGACGAGGTAAAAAAGGGTAAGCTTTTTGCCTTAGGTATGGACCGAATCAGAGGAGGGTAGGATTATGCGTCGCTTTTTTGGTAACCGAGGTAGTAACTTGTTTTTTTTCATATTTTAGGCTTTTAGGCCTGTATTGAACCATGCTGTAATTTTGGATTTTTTGTTGTTTAGAAATTTTTAATATATAATGGTAGAAGGAAATTTAACAGCAGAGGAGTTTTTCATAACAATTCAGCACAAGACTTTAAGCAATTCTTCATCATCAGCAAATGCTATATAGCCATCAGCAGTAATTCCCCAATTCATCCAAAAGACCTAGTCGGAGATCCTAGGTCCTCTTCTCCATAGCACACAAACAAGAAGAACCAAAAATTAAAACCATATACTTATTGAAAGCAAAAAGAAACTTAAGTTCTATATCACCTTTTACCAAGGTGTTCCGAGGATGAGGATTCCCAACACATCCAAAGTAGTGTTCACATGCCTGAGAGTATGAATATACATGAATCACAAACCCATATTATTTTTCAACTACTCTGTTAAACCAGCAGTGAACATTAGGATTACGTACAACACCCCAAAAGGCCAACAAATTTCAATGACATGCCATTGTTGTTAAGAGATACAAACGAAATCATGCCACCGCTATCAGACATGGATGAAATGTAGTACCACAAGCTATCCATTGTCGTTTTCTCCCACGTGGCACCACACACCCAAAATCAAAACAATAGCACAAAATCCCAACCCAAGATCAAAACAGAGACCCAAGATTTCCCAAATGCGTGTCTCCTCACAACAAAACTTGTTCGAAAAAGAAGATTGTCGGACTAGGGCGGCAACAACATTCCATTAAGGGGTGAGATGGTAGCTGCGACTCGCGGTGAGGATTTGACGACAAGTGTCGCGGCAGCGATGAAGGAAGGCTCGCCAATCTGGTGGAACTTGGCAATTTGGGCTTGGCGATCTGGAGCGATGGATGAAGATGAAGATACTCTCTTTGATTTTAGGGGGAGGAGGCAGAAACCCTAACAAATTTGGCCATTTGGGCTTGGCAGTGGCAGAGGAAGTAGAGGCGGAGGCAGCGGCAGAGGCTACAACAGCAACATAAGCGGCGTCGTTAGGGGAAGCATGGCAGGTAGCAGCGGCAGGACACCAATGGGGCGACGACGCAAGCAGGAGGCATGGCGCCAAGAACGACAACGAGCAAGAGGCAGGCGAGACCACTGACAGAACAGGGAGAGGAAGAATGGGAGAGCACTGGTAAGGAGTGGCAGTGGTGGAAGAAACCGTAGAGGGGAAGAAAGAAGAAGTTGTTGGGCTGTGCAAATGAAGCGTGTGTAGGTTAAGATCTGAGAAGTAGAGTGAAGAGCACAATATGGCACCGGTTAAGAGCCAAACCCGAGGTATAAAGTGCTGAAATGTCAGGTGCAGCAAGTATATAGGCGAAAAGCCTGACTTGCACAAGTGTATACGCAGCGGTTGTGTGGCAACCCAAGGCAATAGGGCCTTTTCAAAAAGTTGTCAGACAAAAAGTAGAGGATAAGTCTCGGGTCTTCTTCTAACCGAGGCAATTTCACCATTCTGCCTCAGGTCAAGGTGTAACCGAGGTATATAACCTTTTACGCTTCGGGTTTTACGTAACCGAAGCATATATGGCACGTTAGAATCTACTTTTTTTACTAGTGGTTGCATTGCGTTGCATTTTGATGGTAATCCACTGTAAATGGTTTAACCTCGATCAGTATAGTGTACATGGTGACGTTGATATACTTATATTAATGTCGAGTAGTGTATATTTCGACGTCAACTCTAGTGTTTTTTTATTTTAATTTGGTTCATTTTTGCTCATTTAACGAGGCCTGAAATACAAAAATCAGTTTTTCAATTCATATATTCACAAAATTCATCAATTCAAAATTTAAATCATGCTATCATCAATTCATCAATTCCATTTCAAAAGTAAAACTAAAAGACTAAAGTAAATGCTATCATCAAAACAAAAGAACCTAGTTTTTCAATTCATATATATTCACATAATTTATCAATTCACAATTTATTTAAATTGTGTTATTGTCAATTCATAAGTAAAACTAAAAGCTAAACATATGATATCATCAAAACAAAAAACACCTAAGGCTAGAGATATTTAAAATGTTGATTCAAATATCCTGCCCATTCCCCTCTTATCTTCCTTATTACGACCTTTGGTAATGAATTGGTACAGTTGAACCGCTGCAAAATCAAGGAAACTTTACTATTAAATTCATTCAAATGTGAAAAGTTTATTGGTATTTGTAAGCTTTCAAATGTAAATTTTTACTTCAGTCCAATATGTTGTGATTCATGCTCAGATTATTGTCTTCATCCATGACATGATGTAGTAGCCACATGCCCAGGAATATGTCTACTTGTTACACTAAACATGTGAAAGAACTTAGTCAATGTAATGGTTTAAATTTGACTACGAAAATTAATAAGTTAAAGAGCAACAAATTCCAACCTTAGGATATATAATTTCAATTTGTTGTGCTCTAGGCTTAGCCACAACTCTTAACAAATTTGAAACATTAGAAATATAAGTTAATATATTAATATCATAATGAATTGATATTAATGTATGTAATACCTACGTTTATAACAAGGACTTCAAATCTGATTTCATCTTCATATGAAAAGAACAAAACCATACATCTTGTGCCTTTTTTGGAATGATCACTATATATCATTTGCCAATGGCCCCTAATATGTACCAACAACTAGTTTATTGATTAAATTTTGATAAAAGTTGACAATATTGAGAAACACATATCATCAATGTGTGACGCGATATACAATTCTCTTTTAGACTCATTCATCATTGTTTGCATATATGATTGGTGTCCATATACCTATAACAATAAAGTTAAGTATATTTATTAAAAGTAATCATACTAATATTCCAAAAGTTAAATAAAAATTCAAAAACATATATGCACCATAGTTGTATGTATGAAATGTTCAACATTAGAAGAATTTTCAGAGGTTTTTCTACAATTTTGGAAAATTAAGAAGGACGTAAAAGAAATTTCAAGGACAATTCAGTTGATAACTGATTTAAATATCTATCACATATTCTTAACAACTAATTAAATCTTATGAATATTTGAAAGATATAAGATAAAAAATTTTATCAAAAGAATATTCAAGTCCAAGTCCAATCCAGCCTTGTATAAAGCCTTATATAAAGAGATCTAAGGAAGGTAGAAATCACAACTCATTCATTCTCTCAGACTCCTCCACTGGAGGTTATCATCCATCACTCCTCTCACTTTTATTTTATCATATGTTTCACTCCATTCATGGAGGGCTAAGCTCTTAGGGGTACTCCACTGTAATTTCATTATGGATTCTGAGGTTAAGTTGAATTAATGCAATTGTTTCTTTTGATTATTGATTTGAGTTATTTTTCTTCTATGTCTTTCATCTCTCAATCATATTAAAAACAATAATTTTTGCATCATAAGGTGTTTGAATCCACATGCATATATGAGTTTAAGGGTTTCTAGGTTTGATTGAGAATCTACTTTGATTGAATTTAGAAACTTTCATATGATTAAACGGGTTGTTGATATCAACTGAGTGTGACCTATTTTTGTGTATCTAACATTCGTGTTGATTAAACCAGGTTAAAGTAACATCATATAGTTTTCTCAGTGTACTCTAAGGAGTATTGATTTTATTTTTCTGCAACTTTCTTTGTGTCTATTTGTGTGATTTCTTCATGATTTTGATTATTCCCTCTTCCTTGCCCTCTTTATCCAATGAAC